CTTATGAAACGATTAGTTCTTTACTTATGGATATAAGTATGGATTCACATAAGTACGAAATTAGTAAGAACTAATCGCTCGATGAATAGGCGAAATCCTTTGAAAAAAAAAATGAAATTATTCTGTTCATGACTGTATGTTCAACAAATTTGAATATTGCTTCTTTTTTTAATATTATTTTATTATAGTCATCTCGATGCATGTTGCATGTGCTTTCTTATAATATTACAGAAGTTTCGAACGTTGGTGCGAACGCAAAACGGAAGATCTAAAATTGGTAGTCGAACGAATAGTAGAGGAAATCGCTACACATAGTAGCTGTATAGTTTTCATTACTGATTCTACTTATCGTGGATTAATCGATATGCGTGCTATTAAAATATCTTCTTTTTTATCGCGATATGATGTAAGTATCAAGAGACGAAGTATAACGATTTTTGGCGCTAAGCCAAACGCAATGACACGTGGCTACTTATTCATTAAAATATTCCGAAAGTTTTTGTCCTTAAAAAATTATAAAATTTAAATAAAGTTAGCTAAAGATTATTAATTAAAGTTATATGTTTATGTAAAAACTCTTATTAATTCTGCATACTTTTAATTATATCTTTTTTTGTTTTTACGTCCATCAGATTCAATATATTTATAAATAAATTTTATCAGAAATATTTATCGCATATTTATTTTTCAGATCGGTATACGCGATAACGACGATTTTTTATGGCCAAGGAAAAAAATGGTAAATACACTTCGATATGTGAAAGCAACAGGTTGCGATGCGTACATTATACTAATTAGCAATGGATTACTAACATCACAATTTCTACAATATGTCGAAGGGTAAACGATCAAGATTATAAAATGATACAGATTTACAATCGATTATGAATTCTACAATTATCTAAGAAATTATGTTAATTTTATATTTTTACATCGGAAAGAGTTTAATTACAACTAATATACGTCATTTAAAAAATATGCGAATTAAAAATTAATAAGCAACATTATAAATTGAAGACAAAAATTCAACTAACTTTTTGATTCATCAAATTATTATTTTAGAATTACAGAATATTTTCCAAGTTATTAAATTTGCTTTCCTCACATCCCTTTTATGATTTGGGGATAAATATGAAGATGGGAGAGCCAACCTTGATGATCTTGACCTTGACATGTTGTCAAGTCACGACCTTGAGTGATCCAACAGATTTTAGCCATCACTCGTTATTTGTTAAAAAATTATTAAGAAGAAAAATTTAAAAAGCAACGTCTTATTTCTGCCACATACAATATTAAAAATGATCATATATCTTTCCTGTGTACGTAATGGCTTTCCACGCGAAGCGAGTTTCACCCCATCCCCCTCTCCCCCCGCTTCTCCCCGCTAAAGATTGTACAAGTTTTTATGCAAAGCAAAATCCATTCCATCTTCCCCCACTGCCAAGGGACATATGACTTTCCACGCTAAGCGAGATTCACCCCACCTTCTTCCCTATCAAGGGGCACACGACTTTTCGATTTTGCGAAATGAGGTCTTTCCCACCTGCCCTTCTGCCTATTGTCTAGGGCATGCTTCGCGTGGAAAGTCATACGCTCTTTAACAGGAAAGTGAGGTGGATCTCGCTTCGCTTGAAAAGTTGTTATGCACTATAAGTAGAAAGAGATATGGTAGTACTTAAATTATATATAGCAAAAATAAGACATTATTTCTTAAACCTTTTTGTCTATAACTTTTTAATGAATAACTAAAAATGGCTAAAATCTGTTGGAGGTCATTCAGGGTTATGACCTTAGCAACATATGTGTATTTGTAAGTCAAAGTCATGGAGGGATCCCCTAATTTACATTTTTATCAAAATTATATTAGGTGTTGGAATTAATTCGTAGCGTTTTTTAATGAAAGAATGTTATTTATTTCACATGAGCATTAAAAAATACATTAATGAAAGTACTTCCCATCACTTGTAAAACGCTACGAATTAATTCCAACACCTAATATAAGAAAATAACGTTTTCAAAGAAAATTTTTGTTTTTAAAACAAGAAATCTAAAAAGCATTTTTTTAAAGAATTTTTATTCTATATAGTAGATAGTAGGTAGTAGCAAAGAGATGTTATTTTTATAAACTTTTTTCTTAATAACTTTTTAAAGAATAACGAGCAACGACTAAAATCTGTTGGTCACTCAGAATCATGACTTTGACAACATGTATGATAAGATCAATGTCATCAGAATTAGCTCCCCCATCTTCATATCCATATCATATATATCATCATTTTTTCCATATTCAGAATCACTTTTAAAATTTACATATATTTTTTATAGAGAACGTCTACTCAATACACGTGGCTACTTCTTACTTTTGCATGATAATCGGCTATTCAGGCCCGAATTGCATTACATTTGGAATCGAATTGTCAACGTGGTATTCATACGACAATACGGTACGTACAAGTATCGTTCGGGCGAACGGATTCCTATGAAACGATTCGATCTCAATACTGTCTATTATCCGTCGCGTACAAGAGATTTCACAGCGATGAAGTACATTGATACGTGGCAAAACGGCAAACTACGTTACGGTAATAATCATTATGTGCCGAAAACCATGAATCTTCATGGAAACAGTTTGCGGTTAGTATTCAGTCACATGTTTATTAATTCGAACATGTAAGAATGTAATTTCATAATTCTTGATTTTTGTTCGTAAGATTTCACAGATTATATGCTTTCACATTTAAAAAAATTGCAAATTAAATTATCTTTGCTATTCTATTTTTTCTTGATAAAAATATATAAAAAAGATCTTAATTTGCAATTTTTTTATCCCAAGAATAAAACAAAATAAAATAAAGGAAAAATGTAAGTCAATGAAAGCGGACGCGAATGTCGATGCATAATATATTTAGTTTATTTCACTTGTAGTGAATTGCGTACATAATATTACGTATATATTTCAATCACAATTCTGATGAGTCTTCTTCATACATATTATATATATGTATAAAATTAGCATATTTAAATGGCAGAAACAAGATTAAAATTACAATAATATAAAATAAATCAAAGTGTAAAACAATAAATAGAAACATCAATTAAAGTCCGAATTACATGCTAAATTAAAAATTGTATTAAAAAATAAAGCAGCTGTCCCAGCTATAAAAAATAATAAGTCGATCAAGATCAAATTGAAACTGATTCAATTGTTGGTTAATTGGTATATTGAATTGATGTTGATCTAACATCGTTGATTAAGCAATTATTCCTGACTGATTATTCCTAATCGAAATTCAAAGTAAGAAAAGATCAAATGTCAACGTCTGTAGCATTTAATGTGCATTGACAGTAGCTGTGACAGTAGCTGTGACTATAATTGCATGGCAAAATAGTTACTGCTAGTATTAGTAATAATAATCATATATGATAGTTCTCTCAAATAAAAAAGTTAGACTAGCTACGTTTACATCGCGCGCTTAATCCGTGATCTATACAATATGTGTCTTTGTTTAAACTTACAAGATAAACAAGGACACCTATTGTATAGGCTGCAGCCTAAATGCACGGTAAACGTAGTTGTATATATAGAATTTATAAAAATTTAGAGTGAAACTGGAATATAAAAGAAAAATGCCAAAAATGAAATTTTAAAGTTTACACGTTTCTCGATATATATTTTTTTCTTTCATCTCTAAACTTTTGTCTTCTACAATCGAATCTAAATTTTGAATCTGTCTACATGCACGTCATATTCAAAGAGTTAAGTTTAGTAAATGTATACATTGATTACAATAAGTGTATACATTTACTAACACTTTGATAATATATACATTTACTAACAATTTGTAATATAAATAATTATATGTGTGTGTGTGTGTGTGTGTGTGTGTGTGTGTGATACATGGGGCATTTCATGCTAAGTCATTTTATGACGAAGATTTGTCTTTGGATATGAAAAAAGCAGCCAGATTTTCCACGGTTAAAACAGTGCTATCAATACAAAAGTACTACTTTTATTCCGCTTTCTGGAGAAAAACTATCGATTAAGAAATATTCTAATGCCACTGCTCAAATTATTTTCATCCGAAAATAAACGATAAAATATGAAAATATTTCAGGAAATGGAAATAAAAAATAAAAATAACAAAAAAACAAAAAAATAACAAAAATATAAAAATAACAAAAGATTAATAAAAATAACAAAAATAAAAATAAAACATTTTAAATTTAAAAAATATAATTGTAATGTGCAGGCATTAAAATATTCCTTGAAAACAGTTTCAACCCTGTTAAACGAGAATAATCATTTTTAAACTCATGTGGGCGATTGGGCTGAGCGTGACGGAGCGACATTGCTTCACTTTCCGAGCTCTTACTCTCAAATGCGTGTCCCATTACGTCCTTTTAGATTAAAGTAGAGACCTAGAGCTACATTTTGAGTTATATTAAAAGAAAATCGAGATTGGTCTTTTAGTCACACAGGTATTTTGAAAATTTAAAAACGGATAGAAATCGTCAATAAACGATCTGATCAAAAAAAGAATATTTTCATGTGAAAGAGCGTTAAATTTTCTATAAGAAAATGTCAATATTTCATTTTCAAACTTGCCTTTCATACCCACTAATAACAAGCGAAAAGAATGCTGCGACAAGGAAGCTCAAAAATCGACGACTCTACAATTCGGCAATTAGTTAGCCTATGGGTCTATTATTCAGCATAGAGTCTTATTTATTAAACTGTTCAAGCTCAAGCAATATGAACGAATTTCATGAAACTTCACAAAATGGACTGGCTTGGCATGGAATGTTCCATATATTATATGAATGGGACATTTCACGGTTATCTATGAAAATTTACGTCAAATCAAAAATATGTTCAGACAAAAGTATTATAATTTTAAAAAGGACAAATCATGATAATATCAATTTTAAAAAGCAATTTTTCAAGATCGCATGAAAATCACCTACACATTTTTAAATGGAAAATGACATGATTTTTTTTATAATATTACCCAGTGAGAAATAAGAATGGAATCGATATCGAAACCATCAAATCGTCTATATAATATAAGCATTAAAAAATTTACCTTTAGTTTTTGAGAATACTTTAAATAAAACTCTCAAATCTCCATGCACAACAAAAATGAATAAATGCTTCTGCTAACAACACATCTTACCGCATCGAGCTCATTACTTGTTATGACTTATGACACGTTTGCCAGCAACTAGTCAATTATACCAACTTCCAATGATTGCCGCTAGATTGCAATGCTTTATTTTAAAAAATCCCTATTTCTCGCGTAATAGGCATGTACAGGGTCCGGCAAAATGATCTCCCACATTTTGCATCGCCCCTGTCCCCGAACCACTGAAGAGAGGGGGAGCTTAGCGTAGTCGGTTGGTAGCTCGCGCTTTGCCATTTCAGTTGTCGTCATGAATTGGACGGGCGAGCATCGTGTTTTCGAAACATTTATGAAAAGTAACGAATCTGTGATTACGACGCAAAGAACTTTTCGTACTCACTTCGCGCTTGATAGACATGCTCTAGTTCCAGATCGCAAAACAATACTGTTGTGGGTTTCAAATTTTAGAGCTACAGGTTCAGCTTTAAAAAGAAAATCAACTGGTAGACCCAGAAGTGTTCAGACACCTGAAAATGTTGCAGCTGTAAGAGAAGCAGTTGAACGATCTCCTAGCCGTTCAGCTGTTAAACATGCCTTTTAGAAATCTAGAAACTTTTAGAAACTTAGAAATCAGCTTCGAATGTGTATCGAAAAAAATGGTCGCCACTTGGACTCTGTAATTTTCAAAACTCAATAAAAACAAATGGCATAGCATAAATTTTCAGTTAATAAAAATAAAAGCTAAATAGCCTTTACAATGACGTTTTTATTAAAGATTAAAATGTGGGAGATCATTTTGCCGGACCCTGTAGTTACATAGCTTGTGACATTTTAAATGTCCCATTGTATATATACATATATACAGGGTGTATACTAATTAAGTATACTAAAATATTTTAAAAGATAATTCTCTCACACAAATTTTTCATATGATCGAAACAGCTTAATTTTAAAGATATCTGTTTGAAGGACGTAAAGCTTTATCTTTTTAGGCTATACATTATATTTTCATTCAATTAGAGATGAATCCAAGGCGAATACTTTTTTTACGAAAAAAATCTGATTTTTTTCTTAAGTTTGAAACTTTTTTATGGTAAATGGGATGAATGGGCAGAAAAAGTGTCTCTTTAATATTTTTGATAGAATGTCATTTCCAAGAAAAAAAATAAATTGGAATTCATACATTGCAATCATTTTATCTTATTATTAATAGATAATGATCTCGGAAATGACTTTACTATCAAAAATATTAAAGATCTTTTTTCTGCTAATTTATCCCATTTATTATAAAAAAAATTTTATTCACACAAGAAAAATCAATAATGTAATTTTTTTTTGTAAAATAAGCGTATCCACTTATCCTTGGATCCATCCTTGATTGAATAATGAAATAATGTATAGTCGCAAAAAAAGAGACTTCATATCCTTCATATCCTTCATATATTATAAAGTTTTATCATCAAAATAGCCTAAATGATTCTTGAAATTTTTGTAAATGAAATTTTTTTCGACTTTAACGTCATGTATCTTTGAAACTAAGCCATTTCAGTCAAAAGTTTTTGTCTCGAATTTGTATGAGCAATTACTTAAAATCTTTAGTGTACTTAGGACACATCCTGTATACAAATTAGCTTTTTCAATGTACATTTAAGATAGAAAAATTGCTCTAATAGAATTTAGTATTTCTAAGTTCCTAAATTTTATCACAGAATAAAAAATGTCATTAATATATTTCATTAATTATTGCAATGTTTAATGTTCTACTGAAAATTATGTAGAATTGCGATTTTCGAGCATATACCGGCTGTAACAGAAGCATCGCGGGATTACTATCAGCAAAGTACAAATGCTGCAAGTCCTAAAGCACTGGGTATTGAATTCGAAGTATGTATTAAAATGTGTAGTAAAAAAAATAAAATAATACATAACAATAAAAGCTAAAATTAAAAACAATAACTAAAAAAAAAAAATAAAAGATGATATTCGTAAAATGATGTTTATAAAATAAATTAAAAATTATGTATACTTATATTATAATACAACTTAAATAAATCAAGTACTTTATTAAATATTAATTTTTTATAGACTTTATCGAAAACTGATCTGAAGAGCCAAGTGTTTAAATTTTTTAAAATCTTTAAAAATAACATGCCTCCTAATTTTTTAATACATAGGCATGAATAAACAAATTGTTCTCCTCTTATATCCTATTTATGTATTAATTTAGTAGAAAATTTTCGAGATCTTAATTAACGGAAGATTTGTTGTTTCAGTTAATCCGAGTTATAGCAAAGGCAATGAATTTCAAAGCAGATTATTATATGCCTTCTAATATCGCTAATGAAAGATGGGGTAAAGCGGGAGATAATGATAGCTATACGGGCCTTCTTGGTGAAGCAATTGCCGAAAATGCCGATTTCTTTCTCGGAGATCTGTATTATACATTGTATTACTTGAATTATTTTGACCTATCGACGCCGTACAACACGGAATGTCTTACATTCTTAACACCGGAAGCATTAACCGATAATTCATGGAAATTACTGATATTACCTTTCAGGTACATTATTAATATAACAAATATATACTTATCGTACGAATAATTTATGAATTATTCGTTGAAAATTATTTTAAAAAACTTAATAGCACTTCGAAGAATGCAATTATTCCAATTAACCAAAATAAATAATTCTATAATGAATTATTTATTTATATTTCTGTCGAATAAGAAAGTAGTAACCAGTTACCTTCCATCTCTCTATATAATCTACCTAAGTTTTACGATTTTTCCTAATTTTTAATTGACAATAAAAATTGATCAGATTCAAAAGAAAAAAGATTATAATCTAAGCAAAAAATGTTCAATCTATGTTCATTATTAGAAATATTTATTTATGTTTATCATAAATATTATATAAAATATTTAATCTATGTTTTGATAATGTTTTCGAATAAAGCTTATATAAAAATCCCGGGAAAAAATATTTAAATATTTAATTAATAAATATTTATATACAATTATATATAATTATATATAAAATATATTCATTTATATAATATTTTTTCTCCGAGATATTTATATAATATTTCAAAAAATGAACAATAATAAATTTATTATAAATATTCTATGCTGTCTGGGGTTTCATAATATTTAAAACTATATCTTTCTGCATTTTTAGGCTGAACACGTGGATAGCAGTCTTTTGTACCCTATTGATGGGCGGCGGAGCTTTTCATGTGTTTGCGTTGCTCTATCAGAAATACATAGGTTCGCGTGCGTCTCTGAACCACGACAAAATGAACAAATACGATAGCATGAAAGGTTTGTATCTGTTCACCGAGTTCCAGAACAGCATATTGTACACATACAGCATGTTGCTCCAAGTCTCCTTACCACGTTTGCCGAATGCCTGGACTGTGAGAATCTTCATCGGCTGGTGGTGGATCTACAGTATCTTAGCAGCCGTCACTTATCGTGCCAGCATGACAGCGACCTTATCACATCCTGTTGCTAAGTACAGTATACGATGATATCAAAGACATAGAACTTAAATTGCATTATCCGCATCTAAATGGATATCAATCCATAATATAGATTTCTAAAGGATGTTCTGAAGGACATCCTGTGAGTGTCTCAACGTTCTGAGAACGTTTCCAGAAAGAGCCTCTTTAACTCTTTGGGCTAAAGTACGCTGTATGGGAAATATAATCAATAAAAATGAGAGAGAGGAAGCATGAAAACGATCAATTTCCTTTTTTTTATAAGATATTGTAATTGGTGACTGAATAGAAAGACATAGAAACTGAGTTGAATAGAGTTGTTAATTTTAACAATTCTATTTTGTATGTCTCTCAGAAAGTCCACTATACGTCTTTAAGTTAAAATTTTTTTACAGTGTACAGTTATATATTACGTGAAATGAAATAAATAATGAAACATATTATATGTTCTTTCATCAGATTTTTTTAGCCGATTTGAAATGTCCTCGAAATCGTAAAATATTTGCATACATTTGAATATTATTATATTAACGCTTGAAAAAAATTACAGACTAAAATATATACATAACAAAATCGGTTTTTCAGTTAATTTAATTAATAACAAATATTTAAAAATGTATTTCTACAAAAAATATTTTTAAGAATAGAAATATATTTCTGTTCTTTCTCTCAATTAACATCATTTTATTCATTTATTGAGTCATCTAAAAAGTATCCGCGGTTTTTAGATGACCCAATATTATTGCAGAGTAACTATCGACACATTAGCACAGCTGACTAAATCATCGCTAGCAGTAGGAGGATGGAATGAGGAGAGTAAAGAATTTTTCCTCGCCTCTTCGGATCCACACAGTCAGGAGATTGGCAATAAGTTCGAGTTGACGGAAAACGAGGAGGATGCAATCGATCGAGTAGCCAATGGGACGTTCTGTTACTACGAAAACTCATATTTATTACAGCACGCTCGTGGAAGACGAATATTTGAGAAGCAAAATGGTCGACAGAATACAACTGAAAAGAACACTGAATCATCAGTCAAGTACAATATACATATTATGGAGGAATGCGTCGTCTATATGCCAATTGCGTTAGGGTTGGAAAGGAATTCTCCACTTAAACCTCATGTGGATTTATTGGTATTTTATGTGATGGTATTACCCATACGTTTCGACCTTATTATTACGTCATCTTCAGTTAAACGCATCAAAGAAGTTAAACGCAAATTTACCAAAATTAATAAAACGGTTAAAATTATACAATTTATAGTTACGCAAAAATTTGAAAATTAGTATTTATTCTATCTATCTACCGCACAATGCAATGCTTTTTGTTTTGGTAATATTATCGGTTATATTCTTCCATTATAACAGTCGCAATAAGTTTATAATGATAAAAATATTGAACTGATGAGTCATTAAACTTATTATGACTGTTATAGTGGAAGAATATAACCGATAATATAGGAAAAGCCCTTATTATGATAGCGAGTTCATTTTGGGTAAATGCTAGAAGTCTATAGACAGAATTAAAAAAAATAATAGGTCATTTTGAAGGGAATTTAAGCTTTATAAGGTAACGTTACATAAAATTTAATTCAAATTCCATTTTTTTTTAAATTAAAGAAATATAAAAAGTGAGCAAATCGCAAAGTCAAAAAATTGTGCTCCTAATATGAGACGCCCTGAGAAATCGTAATAGTAAAACGCAAAGTATATCAATATTGCAGTTAAAAAACTTTATTTAATGTTTCTAAAATACACATAGCCAGCGTGCGCGAAAAATGAGCTTGTGATAGATTTACTCAGAATTCGTTTTCAGATAGTTGGAATTAAGCATCGCAGATATGCACTCAACGTTCATTCCAGTTATTTTACAATAACATTTATACTTTAGCAACGATTTTCACTATAATATAGGAGCATGGGTATTTCATATTAGGAATACCGTGAGTATTATATTACGATTTCCACGTCTTATGGTTTTACGATCATCAAATCTTCTGTAATTAAACAATTCAATATATTCCGTATTTTTGTTAGTACGACCTTATTCTATCACTACATGAAGAATTTACTGCCAAATATTTATTTATTAAATAATAAACAAGATTTAAATAGTCATTTCAACGAAACTTGAAGACATCCAAATTCTAAAATCTTGTTTTACAATGATATAGACATAATTTAATAATGAATTTTCTACTAAATAATTTTCAATCTAAGAGCAATAAATTCATAGTGGAACCAATAGATAGTTTATTAGTTTAGCAGAAACATCGCTATCTCTTATTTATTAGGCATCTATCTCATAATAGGGAGCTTTCCTCTATTAGCAGAACGAAAAGCACATTACATTGTGAAGATAGATAGAATAAATATTACCAACTTTCTGTGTAACTATAAATTGTATAATTTTAACTGTTTTATTAATTTTGTCAAATTTGCATTTAATTTCTTTACACTAAGGATGATCTAATAATAAGGTCGGAATGTATATTCTAAGAATTTAAAATACATAAAAATCTGGCTTGTCCCTTCTTGTTATTTATTGTTTATTATTATTGAGCCATTTATAAAATTATTTTTAAATAAATTATATTTACGTATAAAACGTTCTTTACATTTTGGAAAATACTATATAATATATTTGAGATAGATTAACTTATTAAAGTAAAATTAATATATATCTATTAATGATTCGCAATTATTAAAAAAATGAAAAAAATCTTTTCATTCTTTTATTTTCTTGATACTAGTACAACTTTTAGAAAATCAGATTTATTTAGTTTCTCTTATATAAATCGCGTTTTAGGTGAGACGAATGACGGAAATTGGTTTGGTGCACAAGTGGCTGAGCGATGTAATGGAATGGTCGAAGATCAATGAATCACGGCAAAAATCTCAATCCGAAACAGCATTAGTAAACCTACGAAAATTGTATGGCGCTCTTACTGCTCTCGGTATTGGTTATCTTCTCAGTTTTATAGCTTTACTCGGAGAAATTCTACACTGGAGATACGTTGTCTTAAGAGACCCAAGATATGACAAGTATCATCTTGATATATTTTATAAAAACAGCGATAAAGCAAAAACTTGAAAACTTTATTTAAAACACACTATTTTATTTCGCATAGCGGTTCGCATAAAAGTATTACATACTTCGTATTTAAAATTGAAAGATTGAAAGCTTTTTGTATTTTGAAATTTAAATAATAAGATTGTTATTAATGTTAGTATTTTGAAATACAGAATACAAAATACTTTTATATGCTCCCATGAAATACAAAATATAATACATACAATACAATACATATTTTCATGTACTCCGAACAAACACAAAATACAAAATATAATTGTCTTACCAATACTGTTTTTCAAATAAAAGTATTTCTAATACATGTCCAGCCCTGTTGATAGCATTAAGATCAAGCGAACATGTGTCTTTAGCGCGAATATTTATTTGATTTTTATTATGTCTCTATTTATATTATGCATTCGTTCTTATTCTTGGCTGCATAAATTGCAATATCATTGCAAGTATCGAAAAGATGTGACGACGAAATTTCTCGGGATATAAAAAGAGTACTTGATACTTTGAAAGTTAAGGAAAAAATAATCCATATTAGTGTACCCGATAAATACAAAAATTTGTAATTGAGTTCCAAATTGTACATATTTATTCAAAATTTTCCCATAAAAAAATGTAATCATATATTCATTCAAAATTTTGGGTTTTTAAAAAATATTTATTTACAAAAAACTATAAATATTTAACAAGTATTCATATTCATTCAAACAAAATATAAACTGAAAAAAAAATTCCAATAAGCAATTATTATCCCTTAATTATAACCGGCACTTTAATGACTTGAGTAAAAAAAAAATAGAATTTTATTTATTTTTTGTAATTAATTGTAATATTCAAATTTTATGGAACTTAAAAATTTTGAAAAATATTTTCGAAAGCAATACATTTTTTATAAATATCTGTTTGAGCGTCATACATATTCCGATATAATTTCGGTTACATCACAGTAAATACAGTAATGTTATAAACATTTTAGACAAGATATCTTGAGCACATCGTTCATTATGGTCTGTGGACATTTAATTCCAAAATATATTATTTATTTCCAACAAAATATTTTTAACCTATAGGTTAAACAAAGATGCCTATCGAAATATTATTCTAATTTGATTCTGTTAAAAGATTAGAAATCTCTATACAAGGGTCTAAAAGAAGAAAAAGAACCTAATTATGTGATTCTGTTATTATCGAAAATATGCGTTGCTGTGTTGAAAATTGTAAAAACCATAGCGAAAGAGGTTAAAGTTTTGAATAACCGCGCGGCCATGGAGCCAAAATGGCGGCAGTCACGATACTCTGTGTGTAATCTAATGACTTTATCTCAGGTTTCTCTCTGCTTTTTGTAGGGCCAGCTTTAAGTACAGTAAAAATACGAGTGCGCTACCTACACTTATTACATCTATGACCTGCAAACATTAAAAATAATACGACTGCTTACAGTACAGACCGTATGGACTTTGCAGATTACTTTCATAGGTTAGAATTAAATCGTATATAAATATAAATTAGAATTTAGGCCCTGCACAGAATGGAGGAAATGTTAGGAACAAGAATAGATATTAAGATTTCAATCTATTAGAAACCGACGTGTATTCCGACGTAACTGGTATCTGATAGGTTAAAATCTTAATATCTGTTCCTGTTCTTAATATTTCCTCCATTGTACGCAGGGTCTTACGTATCTCGGTGTGTCGCGTGTACATTCAGAATTTTTTCGACACCTCGATTAAAAAAATTTTTATTATTTTGTACTGATTTCTTATTAAAGAATTGGCAATTTATCGGTTATATCATAATTTGACAAATCTATTTTTTTATAGATATATATCATATATTTTATCAATAGTTACTTAGATATTAACAATTTAATTCACATTTCTTATGTTATTAATTTATTTGTATCTTTTAAGATAGTTAGAAATATTATTATGGGTGATACAGAAAAAAAAGATTTACAAGAGCAAGCATTGGCAAAGAATGCTGTCCTGATATCTAGCAGCTCTTTATCATCTTATACAACTCCAGTAAAAGGTATCTATTTCTTATTTTCTATTAATAATTTCATTACTGTCACTATTGGCATATAAATAATAACAAATTGGGTATTTAGGTTATGATTTTAATAAAGGTATCAATTATCATGAATTGTTTACAACCATGGCAAGTTGTGGTTTTCAAGCTACAAATTTTGGGCTAGCGATTAAAGAAGTAAATCGTATGCTACATCAGAGGAATATACTTCTCATGGAAGATCAGCTAGATGAAACAGAAGAAGATGAATTTATAAAACGAAAAAATCATTGTACAATATTTTTGGGTTATACGTCAAATATGGTATCTAGTGGCATCAGGGATATTATAAGATTTCTTGTACAACATAGATTGGTAGATCCATATATTTAACAGTTTAATTTGTTTCATGGTTATCTTATTATATTTTGTGACTTTAGACAGATATTTTGTAGGTAGATTGTCTCGTAACCACAGCCGGTGGAGTGGAAGAGGATTTCATAAAGTGTTTGGCGCCTACATATGTTGGCAGCTTTTATCTGGACGATAGAAAACTTAGAGAAAATGGACTTAACAGAACTGGAAATTTATTAGTACCAAATGATAATTATTGTTTATTCGAAGATTGGCTAATGCCAAAGTTAGACGCAATGCTGTCCGAACAAAAGACGAAAGTATATGAGAGTTATTATATTGTTCAATTAGAGATACTGTTTAGCGCGCATTTTTACAATTGAATTGTTTTGTAGGGTACTTCATGGACGCCATCTAAAATGATAGCAAGACTCGGCGAGGAAATCAATCATGAAGATTCAATCTATTATTGGGCTGCGAAAAATAAGATTCCGGTATTTTGTCCAGCATTGACCGATGGTAGTCTCGGCGATATGATATTCTTTCATTCATATAAAAATCCAGGATTCGTACTTGATATTGTTGCAGGTTGGTTTTAAACCTAATTTACAATAATATTGCTCTTTGCTTCCCATTTCTCGCTTTTTCCCTATTTATGACTATTTTAACAGTAATCATGTTTTTTGTCATTTCTTGTCTCTTCTAAAGTTTGTCAACTTTTATCTCGGGCAAAAGAAACAGGATAAGAGGCAAAAAAGAAATAAAAAGTAGTAAAAAGTAAAAGTAGGAAGCTGAAAGCATATTGCAGATTAGGGTTTAACGTGTAACATTTATTAGTCTGCGTAACGCATATGAATCAATGAATCTTTCATCTTCCACAGACGTCAAGAGATTAAACAGGATAGCTATAAAAGCAGTGAACAGCGGCATGATAATTCTTGGAGGCGGTGTGGTGAAGCATCACATCTGCAATGCTAATCTTATGGTAAAATATTGACTCTTTGGCATGTTATTTTAGCCAATATATTCACAGCCAATGGTAACGGTACTTTATTTCAGAGAAATGGCGCGGATTATGCCGTTCTTATCAATACCGCCTCGGAATTTGATGGTAGCGACAGCGGTGCTCGACCCGAGGAAGCGATTTCTTGGGGAAAAATTCGGAAAGACGCTGATCCTGTCAAGGTAACTGCATTACTTGATAAATTTAAATTATTAAATTCAAATTTAAATGAGCGACAGTCGATCAGATTGTCAGGTGACATCGTTGTTTCTGTCTTAGGTGTGCGCTGATGCCACTTTAATATTTCCATTATTAGTCGGAGAAACTTTTGCCAGATATCATCATTCAGGGAAGATAGGAAAATAAGAAAATGAAGACGAGCTTTAATTATAATGCGGGTAAGACCTTCTGAAAATATTAGTAACGTAATAATTGTAATTACCTAAATATATTGATGTATACAATTACAAATATTAAATTTGTATAAAAAAAAGAAACAGCTATTAGTTCTCTAATTAGGAACATTCAAGCGTTCGAACGTAACGTGCATTCATGAAATTTTACACTGAATGATATGGAATATGCATATAAATACTATAATATAAAATATTGGGACATATTTAATATTATACACATTTAATATTATATCACTAAGAAAAAAATTTTTAGTATTTGTGATAATAATTACATATTATCATAATTATGGTTATTACTGCCATAATAATTATATGTATGATTCTATCAATAAATATATGTAATTGCAATGAGAAAAAATTATAAACATTTTTGTGGTAAACATAATTTAATAATTTCTAGTCATTTTTGTATCAACTATGATATATTGATAGAACTATAGATATATAAAAATTATTACTAATATTATAGCAGTAATAACTATAATAATTATACTATAATATTAAACTTGTAATTATAGTCACAAATACCAAAAACTTTTCTCTCAGTGTATAATTATTATTTTATTTACAACACTTTTGTTAAATATCAAAGAAGCAACGGTAACCCAATCCTTTTAATAAAATAACATATTGTTATTTTTAACTTCCATCTGTATAATCAAAATGTAAATCAGTTCATTTCTATGATTAGTTCCAAAATAAACATCGTTCATATTAACGCGTATGTACTTAGTAATAAACTAAATTTGAGTCTAATTTAATATATTTTCTTGAGTTAAATTGTTTAACTCCATTGTTTTAATCAAATTAACGAACATTGAATTGGATCAGTAACGACTTGTAGATACGATTAAAAATAACTCAATTATATAATTTAACATTATGAATTTAACAATGAAATAAAATCCATTTTTATTTTTACATATCTCTTATAAAATTCCTTTAAAAACATCGATATATTTTTTGCATTAAATGTTAAGAGCCGAGCTCCAATTTAAATACTAAAATTTATCAGAACAAATTAGGGTAGTCCTGCTTTCCGAAGATCTTCGGGAGATTCGCGTTCCTCGGGTAGATCACTCGGGCGTCGCGACGCCTGCGCGACTGCGGCAGGTGCTCGGCGGCGCAGGTTCGCCAGGCATCGCGGCGCCCCGCGGTGGTGTCGCAAGGGGGCGGTAGGGGTGGCGGCACCGTTCGCCAGTTGTTACCCGTAAGCCCGCGCTTGCGGACGACGGGCGTGAAACTAGCCCCGATCATCCCCCGTCGCACGGCTTGAGCTCCCTCGATTCTGTGGTTTCTGCCTTCCTCCCCCCCTCCCCCTCCCACTCCCTATCCCCTTTTCCCGCGCGGGGACCGATTGCTCGGGGTAACTGCACGGCTCGTCGCATCGTCGTCGGCCAACCTCCTCGCGACTCGTCGCCATCGTCGTGATCGTCGCGGTCGCGCTGCTGTACTCGCCGTTCGTTATCAACCCTTTCTCCCACCCTCCCCGCGATATATCGCATATCGCATAGCGGTGGTGGTGCTGGTGTTGGTGGTGATAGCCGTCATCGGTATGAACGATGATGGACGTGGAGGAGACCAACACGGCGTCCACCGCGAGTTCCTCGCCGAGACCTTCCAGTCCCGCCGCGGACTCCACTTTTATCAGGTGAGAAAATCTCACGGTACATACATATGTATACATGTACACATGCATATCGGAACGAAGAAAGAAAGAGAGAGAGAGAGAGAGATGATCCTCGTGTATAATTTCGGCGAGTTCGAATTCCGGCGATCGACACGCGAAAACGAGAACCTTTTTACGTGTCCTCGCGTCGTAAGATTCAGTTTTCCGTACAATGCTGAAAATTGAACTCGTACCGAATTTATACGGTGCGCGCATGCGCACACGCCGCTTCCAGTCCGCGTCCGTTTCTCGGCGAATTTGACCATGTTGCTTCCCTTCCCGTTTATCTGAACGATCGCTAAACAACTTCGTCGCTAAAACCTTACATCTTCATCCTTATCACGGTAATGTAGCCCTGATCGCGGATACGCATTCGTCGAATGTACGTACGTTGTCAATTGCGAGCCTGACGACGTAACGTCCCGTCGAATAAAAATTTGCCCGAAATATATTTTTCCGCCAAGTCGCTGAGCTGTACGCTTCGATTCGCACATCTCGCGATTTTTTTTTAAATCTCTCCCATCGCGAATAGAATTATTTTCGTTCTTATTTGCACTTGTTTTTGAATATATACGAATATATCTCAACTTTAGTTCGATGAATATTTTTGCCGAAATACGTCAGACTTGACTGGTCTAATTTTTGATGTTGGGCTTAAATCCTTGTTGAGCTTGGATTATTTCGTTCTCGCAGCGATGTGGCGTGTACATTGCGGCATTCGGTGGCCGTTCCGTGTGTGACGCTCGCGATATCACGGTTGGACGGCGAAAATACACGATATTTGCGGGATCGCGCGGGCGCCGATTAATAATGCACACATTAAGTGCACCGCCTCCCCCACTTTCCCCTCCCCTTTCCCTCTCCCTCGAACGTTCCCAGTCCGCGCGCTCTTCCATTCTGTTGATTTAAAAATGCAGGTGGCCAGAGCACACAACGCAGCTATCGAGGCGCGCCGCCGTGAATATTCGAGATCTTTCTTTCTCTCTCGAGATATCCCGTCTCTGTTTCTTACGATTAGACGATCGGACGTCGGATCCAATTTCCGGAACTCGGCGGTTGAGGAAAACGAATTTTAAAACTGATGAAAATTCAATTCGAAGTCCTGCGCGAATTAGATCACTAAGTCTTACGATAAATTCCGTAATTGAAGCTGATGCGACCTTCGTCGAGCTCCGAACTTAGCGACCACGTGAAAATCATTCTTACGTTTTATTTGTAATAACACGAGAAAGTGTCGATTGAAGATTACAGCAATTGAAGATTTCTGCCCTCGTTTTCAATCCACGATAATTTCTCAATCGAAAAGAAACTGCAAATCGTCTCAATAAAATCAAATCGTCTCGATAAGACGTGGAAGATTTTTCAATCGTCGTCTGTATGTATAGATAAAATTATTCTTAAACATTTTAAATATTTTGAATATTTAAATTTCTTAAATATTCGCGAAATATCTAAATTTTTATTCGAATTAATCACTACGTTAATAAATAGATATAGCGTAAAGTCACTGATCCTAACAATTCTCTTTTATCTCGTGTCTACTTGATAAATAAATAAAACGATCAATTATATATCTATATATTATACATACAAGCTCAAAGATACAGAATAATCAATACTAATTAATTCAACGCGCATGATAGCGCGGAATTGGGCGGATTCTGTAATCACTGTAGGTATCACACATACACTTTCTATTAGCTTGGAAATCGGAAGAATTATTTACTCCGTCTTGTCTATTTTTAACATGATGTAACTTCGTGACTATAAATTTCAAATTAAAATTCTATTGAAGTCTGCTTTAAATTAGCCAAAGACAGTTTCGTATATTTATTATTAATTTAGTTTAAAATATAATAATTTCAGTAATCAAATAATAATTTAAATCTGATAATTTTATAATATTATTGAATTTTTCAAGCATAATTCACAAAAGTTATTTAGAAGTTAATGATACGTCGACATTTTTATCTCGAAAGAAAGTGAATTCGACAAAAACTTCTTACCTAGAAAAACATTCGTACGATTTTGGCTTTGTATAATTTACAATATTTACGTGTTAGGAAGAAAATGCTCGTCAATCAATCCATCCCTATGATTAGTTTCGAAGTAAACAAAGTTCATCTTAACATATACTCTTAGTAAGTAAAGTAAATCAACTAAATTTGAATTAAATTTAATATGGTTTTTTTTTGGTTAAATTGTTTAACTGAATTATTTAATTCCATTGTTTTAAATTAACAGCATATTAGCAGTAAGACTAGTGGCGATTTATGGAAATGATAAAAAATGACTCAAATTGGGTATAATTTAACATTATGAATTTAACAGTGTAATATCTATCTTCGAAGCAGTCGTCAGCAATGTCAGAATGCTTTCCTTATGATAGATTGCATATAACTTGCGATTGATTCTTCCTTGCAATTATATTAATGTTATATACTGAATGTAGTATGTTCCCTACAAATTTTATATCTCGATGCTTCCTCGTGTGTCGCGGCTATAAAACACGCGCTCGGTCGGTCGCGAGGACGCGAAATTACGCTGCCAGGACGAATAAAATCCGGCGCGTGTGATCGAACACCTTTAGACGCGGATATTTTCGGATGACCCACTTCGTTCTATCCATCCATAAAGACGATAATTATCGACGATACTAGGAATAGCGACGAGAATGACGTGACAGACACGGGATTCTTTGTATGACATCACTTATGGTGTCGAATAATCTATAAGATACAGGAAGGATAGTATTATCGAGAGTAACAAAATTTCGTTTTCTTCTCAACAAGTGTTTCTGTGTTAAATTCATTATTAATTTAATTTTCTGTTGAATTAGTTAAATTAAGTTCTCTTTTCGTGATATAATTATTGAATATGAATTTATTATGAAATATATCTTTTTCATCGTTATTTAATGGATTAAATTAATGATGATGATTAAATTAAGTACTGATTCATATTTTATATATCTTGAATATTTTTAAGATCTATAAGGATCATAAATTTTGATTTTTTTCTAATAGATATTTTATGATATCGAATTTCTCGTATAGACAATCATTTAAAAAAATCCAAACGCGGAAATACGAGTGATATAATTTTATATTAATATTTGTCGTAATCAATTGCATTGTTAATATACGCATAAAATAAACCTATATTCAACGTTATCAGTTTTTGCAATTCTCCACCGTACATTTTTGCCTTGATTAATTTTTCCTAAAGCTAGATTCGCGGTGAGAATCGAAGTCAAAACTGGGTCAATCTTTTATTGCATCCCAGGGCCGTACTGGCAAACGGAACGACGAATAATGCTGATTCTTTTTTGAGCCAAGGATTTCACCCAAAATTGAAGCACTTTCATACTAATACCATTCTATACCTTTCATCTAAATACATATAGATACTTCCATTTCAGTGTGAAGAAAGAACCTACGGACGAGCCCAGCAGTCCTTTGGAGGCCACCAGTCCTGGTTCCATTCTACGCAACAACAACGGTGAGTTTCCTAAGAATAATTATGAATGATCTATATGAAGCGTTCGATGCCATGGTGATCTAATTTACAGAAAAATAACATACAAAGTAAAATTGCGTACATTGAAAAAAAATATAGTCAATTTTAATAAATATTTAGTTCAATACTATCAACTAAACATTTACTTATAGTAAATAAATATTTATTCAGTAAAAAAAGAATTTGATTGTTAAATCAAATTAATATTTTTTCAAATAAATACAATATATTTATTAAAATTAACTATATTTTTTTCAAATGTAGCAATGTTTCTTATATTAGAAATTATAAGTGATATAATACTCTATACATGTTATTTTTTTAATAAATGGCAAATTTTAATAAATAATAAGTTTAATAATAAATAAGTTTTTGAATCTACGCATGGTTTAAAAATAAAATACAAAAGAGCTTAAATGTTAAAAAATTTTCAATGATTTATTATTATAGAAACTAAAAAATTATTTAAGACTTTAATCTCATATTTTTAAAAACAAGCTGTTTATAAAGTTGGTCCATTATTGTGTTGAACGTTTCATACGATCTAATTTGGTAGTGTGATAATTTCGTTAAAATTGCGAGAGGGAATATTAAAGAGCGCCGTTAACTTTTTCTCGTGTCCGCTATTATTATATACGATGTGATAAATAATTCACAAAACGTTGAATAAAAAGAAAGAGAGATTATCGGAGATAAGAGAAACAAAAGTGATAGTTATCAACCGTGTTAGCCTGCATAATGCTAATATATCTTAAAACATTATGTGAAGTATGTGCAGTACTTTTATAGGTTTATTACGCAAATCGAATTTATTTTTCTAACTTTTTATTTTTTAAAGAATCTTTTGTCTTGTTTTTCTTCTTAGGTCTCGTCTGTTTTTTTAGCCGATGCTAAAAAAATATAGACACGTTACTTGTTACTTGAATGAGCTTTCGGTAGTACACGATTCTATGACGCGTCATTTATTTCGCAATAAACTTTTTCAATAGTGCTGCTTATCAGAGAGACCGCTGCAGATTACTGAAAGATGCAAAAAATTTCTTTTGACCGTGCATCCACGTCAAACCGGTTTTCTTCATATGCAACCGTGGATTAAGAGACGCATGGTAATTCATTGTTAGTCAAATTCCACACGTTGCATGTATATAGAGGTATCGAGTTTATTCTAGAGGTCCTACGAAACCTGATTTAAAGTAATCTTTATCATTTCTATGGACCAGACCTATATATATATTCATTTTGGTTGTACGTACCTATACCGGTCATCGTCTGTAGAATCATGAATGCACAAGAAATGTAAAAGAAGCATTACGAATATTGATTGTCGAGATGTGAAACCATAAAGAAAATTTTAATTTTCTAATTTTTTCATAGAGATATTTTATGTCAAACCTATAAGTAAAAGAGTTTAGAAATGAAATAAAAACATTTTATTTTTCGAGTAATTACCAGTTCAACTGGGAAATCTCATTTGAAGTTTTGCCTACCAAGCGAATGTAATGTTGAAAATTGCGACGACATCTCCATCGGTGAAAAAGTTTACCGCGCCGAGTTGTCTCGAGAATCCGTCATTGGGAGGTTCTCGCATGATCCTGGAACATTTGTACACAACGTACGAGTCCTCGCGTGACAATAACAGGATGGCGGGAGAGAAAGGAAGAGAGAATGAGCACCGCTGCCTCTTTACGGTGGGATGAGGTTCCAGCTGTAGCTGGCGTTGGATCGATTCAAAAGCGGCAGCAAAGCGCCCCACCCTATTATGTGTTTTCTTCAGGCCCCTACCTCTCGTTCCAGCCCCCCTGCTTCTCGTCGCGCGAATCCAACCCTCCACCCCCTGCTTGCTACAGCTCCCTTACCACGCTGCGCACCCCCTGCTGCCTCCTCCTCACCCCTCCCACGGTTCTATCGCGCCGGAACGGTTTACTGATGTGAGCCGGAAGATCTCGACGACCGGAAGTTCCCTTCGCGCGCTCCGCTTTAATTGAAGATGGCTTTTTTTCTCACCTCTCCTCCCCGTTGCTTTTTACCCTGCACCCTCTCGTTCCATACAAGCGTTGAGAATCCGAGACGCAAGATTGGCCTTTTGGTCACCGGTGGACGGCACCTTAATGGGCAATTGGCTGCCGGGAGAGAGAATTTCTGGAGTCCCCGTGAAATTCACCGGCTGATAGCCAATTAACTACCGGGCCTCATTCGTCGCTGGCCATCATTCATGGGAAGGTCAATGTGTCTTTCGGCATTTACGGATAAATCAGAAACGGTTGATGGTAGTCCCTCGTGGCGTATTTACTTACTTGTTTTATATTCATCTACGCGTGCTGGTGTAAAGAGTGTCTTAAGAGCGTATAACAATTTAAAATGATAATTCGTTAAATTGCGCATTATAAATAACGAATGTAGAGAAACAGCAATGTGGTCGATTAATCTTAGTGGAACTCTCTGGAAAAATGCGAAAAGGTATAATCTCGCTTTCCGGATTCAGATTACCCTGTGTGGCTTTCATTACCGTTACAAGTGTAGGATATATTTCGTCGCGTTTCTCAGTAATGAAAGGGTTAAGGACGCATTTACGTTATAAGAATATCTCTTTATATAGATCGCGGAGACATAGCACTATATTATTATCACATTGCATAAGACCCGGCGCTCTATAATTATGAGTATAAACTTATAACAGTGTATTCGCTGAATGAAGAGGCGTTAAGTCGTCGTCGAACCGTGATCGAACTCTATTCTACGTTGTGTTCCTTGTTCCTTTATTAAGAAATCAATGCATTGGAAATCGCTCTATCGCAATTTATTAATTCTGTACTTGATTTTACATAATATAACATTTTGCTGGAGAGAATTCTTTCATGATCATGCAATTAAGTAAATTCGTCTTGAATACTATTAATGAATTTTCGCGCGTCTCGATCACATTAAAATTCAATTTAGATTATGTCATTACAACTTTCACTTTCAATTATACATGTAAAAATGCTTGTGAAAAAGCGAGAAAGAAATTATGTTATTATATTGTATGTTATTATATTACGAACCAAAAATTAATTATTAATATTACCTGACTAATAATTGAATTCATATTTTATGAAATAGAAATTTAATATCAATATATTGTTTAATTAACGGAAAACTGTCGAATCACATCTTCAGATTAAAAAATATAGATACAATTAAAATATTAAACATTTTTCTACCCGAATAATTCACGGAGATAACAAGCACATATAATGCGTATTAATTATCGCTCATTTTTCAGCTTGTATTCGATTTTTAATATACTTCTTCTCTAAATTGTTAATAAACTGAAATATAATTTCACCTGATATGTTTTTTTAATGCTGAACAGTTCATCAATTTTATGAGCGCTTTAATAAAATCTGAAATCTGCCAATAAATCTATACAAGTATTTATAGTTTTCCAATTGGACGGAATTCACACTTGAAAGAGAGAGAAAGAGAGAGAGAGAGAGAGAGAGAGAGAGAGAGAGAGAGAGAGGAAAAAGAAAGCGGGGAGAGAAGATAAAAGGAGTGCGCGAGAATTTATATTTTCGAATAAACCGCAGCCGCGGCAGAACGCGAAAGCTCGATGAGGGGAAATGCAGCGTGCGGCTCGCATAATGTAACACACAAGTACAGAGAGAGCGAATCGATCTGTACGTACGCTCGCGCTCGCGCGAATGCAACCGGTTTCCCAGGTTCATTATACCGCGGAGCCGCGCATCTCCTTTCCCGACAAGTGTGCGCCGTGTTGCGCGACCACACCGACGACGGTAGTCCCGCCGTGAAGTTACTTACGCCCGGACTTCATCCCTTTCTCGTAAACGTTCGCCGCGTCTCTCTTCGTCCCGCCATCACGCCGTGGTCCACCTCGATCAGGAAACGCGCAGTCGTTGCGCCGATCGTGGAAATAAGTCATCGAACCGCCACGGTTCACGATCGGCTGCGCCGATATCAGCGCGCTGCTTACCATCCTGGGAACGCGGGATAACATGTGTCTAAGATGGCAATAGTTGTCTTCTTTTCTTTTTCTTTCAGACGTCAATACGTCGTAGTCGTTTCGTCGAAAATAGAATCGAAAATGGATATAGAAGCCCACGCTGTTTATACATTAAATTTATTATGTAAAATTTATGTATGTACCAATTTTTTAGTTATTTTTATTTCGAGTTTTTTATTTTAGTTAAAATTATTTCTATTCATGGAAAGAACGATTTTGCTAAAGTATCTAAAAATTTAACAGAATTAGATACAGAACTGAAAATAATTTTGTTAAATTGTCAAAATAATTGTATAAGATGGCTAAAAGTTTTTATAGCAAAGTGCTAATATGATGTATGTTTATATACGAGGAAATCGGATACTTAGATATACTTCTAATATTTAATATCCATACGCAATTGACATCTTGGCTCTGCGACCTATTCCGTATTTTAACGTTCAACTCAGCCTATGTTTACATAACAACGAATCATGAACTCGTATATCTCAGGCCGTTGTAACAAACATAAGGAAACTTATTGTTTGTAACATTACAATGTACCTCACGTGATTTGTATTCAGTATTATTTAATGTTATTTAAGATTTGCGTTTATATGGATTTTTTTTATGATGACTGAAGATGGCTAAGTAAGTCAAAACATCCTATCTCTTTATATTGTAACATTAAAAGTTACTATTAAATATACATGTGTGTGTGTGTGTTATTTGTTTTTTATAGGTCTTTCTTATCTTTTTATTATTATTTATCGTTTTTAATTTTTTAGAAAATTGTAGAAGTACTCGAAGAAAGATTTGGTTAAATTAACTAGAATTCTGGTTAAATCTGTATACTAGAATTGTAGTAGATTTAATCAGACATTTAGTAGATTTAATTAGAATTCTGGATCATTTATTTTCCATCCGAATTCCAGTTAATTCAATTAAACATTTTTCTCCGTGTAGATAAAAAGTTAAATTGAGATTAATCTATATTAATAAAAAGTAATCTATATTAATAGAAATGAACAACTGTCGAATTCTGAGATCTGAAGATCGTTGTAATTAAAATTTTCAACGTATTTTTGTCGTCTGCGTTTAAAGATTTAGATCAAATATTGTTTTGTGCATCCGAAAGTTTCTGTTAATTAAATATGAGAATTTTGAGACCAAATAAAAATTGGAGCATCTCAGCATAGCCATTTTTACAGCTACCTCTCTTAATTTTTGAGAGAAAGAATGTCGAGCAGAACGTTTGGTTGGCAAATAAGATTAACGAGATTGATTTATCATTGCTATCGCGAAATAGCAGAGTACTCAAGCTGGCCTTATCAAAATCTCTCTTTCAGAGACGATTTTTCTCACAAATATCTTTCCCAAATTGAAGTTACTTAAGCGATTGAGCGTTGCCTAAAGCAATTCGATGTTTCTCGCCGTCTTTATGGCTCGCAAACTTTCCTCGTGGATCACTAATGCATTCTTTCTTTTGTCATCGTTGACACCCTCGACGGATATCTGTCGCACTTCCCTTGGGACGTGCTTGTCTAAGAGAGTCAGCGGACAAAGTGCCGGTGCAAATTCTGTTTTAGTAGCGGGCCTAAGAAAAGAAAGAGAGAGCCCGTTGGTTCGTACGTTCGTTCGGCTCTCTCAGCACTTTTCGGTCAATGAACCGCGTGTTGCTGGCGAACCCAGTTGGTCCACTCGCGCGGCGCGCGATCCCCACTGCGATTCCAACTTGCTGCGTCCCGCGATTTAACCCCCCACTGCAGAGTCACGGCGGCGATCACGTCAGATCGGTCGGTCCACGTTTTATCCCTACCGGACAGACGCGATCCTCCACGACACGGCTCACCTCCGGCTTCCCTCGATCTCGCTGATCGCTCCCCCTTCGTCTCCGCCCGCAGCTGCAACCCCTTCCATCCTCGAGACTCGGTATGTACTCACCTCCGACCCGTTCGCTTAATTCTTTTCGTCCCCTCTCCTCCCGTCCACCCTCCTGGTATTCCCCTTTGCTTCCCTTCTCCCTCATTGCCACCTCCAACCACCTCCTTACTCCTCTTCGGAGGTACACCTCCCCCTCACTCTTTCTCTTTTTCTCCCTTCTTGACTCTCCTCTTTCCTCGCCCTTTCCACCATCCCTTCTCCACCGCGCAATGTCGTAACATGTACGACGGAACGCCGGCTTTACTTACCTCACAGGTGAGCGCTCTCGGCTGTACCAGGGAGAGGACGAAGGAATCGTCCTAAGGGTGGGGAGGGGGAGGAGGGAGGGGAGAGAGAGAGAGAAGTGCTCGCGGAGCTCGCGAGTAAGCGCGAGGGAGAGAAAGAGAGACGGCGCGAACGTAAGGTAGGGGGATCAAATGAGAGAAAGAGAGAAGCACGTCCGTGCGATCGAGGAAGACGGAGCACGGGAAACATGCGGCGGAGGGCCCACTCCCGGCACTCCGCACTCGCGCGAGAACGAGCGGGCTCGACGCGCCGCACGCTCGCGGATCGCGCGCACCCACGTGATCGCGCACGCTCTCGCGATAAACGTTCCGTCCTTAACTATATCGGTACTTACAATTACCTAAACTCCCTTGGTACACCCTGTACACACCTTTCACGATAGGGTGTCACCACACGCTCCTCTCGGGCTTTTCCTCACCCTCGCGGGAATGTCCGCTTCCGCTTGATTGCGCCATCACGTGGACGATTCCTTCCGATGATATCTGCGGACGAGAGCAGAGTGCTCTCGACTGTCTGGCTCCGAACCGATACGTGCCGATCGCGACGATCTTGTCGGGATAGTGAGTGGTATCCGATGGCGAATCGTTTATCGAAAGGCGACGTCTAGATCGAGTAGCTTCGTGAGAGATAGTATAGATATCATATATGTTTTCTAGAACGAAATGATATTTTAAAGGATAACTCTATTGGTTTCTACTATCGACGTCTTATATACTTTATTTCAACGCGATAACCAGGAATGTGACTGTGCACTCTGGATCAGTGTGATCGTGCCTCAGAATTCTGAAGTGGCGTTTCGAGAATCTGCGTGAGATTTTACGAGAAACTCGTGAATGTGAATAAACTTGTCCACTGGTGCCGAGAAGGGTTCTAAAAAAAAGTCAGTTGAGAACCTTTCTTTTCCTCGTGGATTACATGCTGGACCAAATCATTTCGATACAGTGGCGAGTCTTATCGAAAGAGAGTCGAAATATCGGTGAGTGTTTGGGAACCGTTCGTGCAGCGTTAATTTGCGTGTCACGTTTATTCAATGCGAGTTGTACACGGTGAGAGATAATTGCCAAGGAAATTGCAAAAGTTCATTGCGCTTTCATTCACACCTCATTGTCTCGTGGAAGCGCGACAAGTAAGCGGAGCGAGTCCGCGTTGTTTCGAGGTGTCGATTGCGGGAAATTATGAAATTATTATTATTTCACAGCTATTCAATACCTGTTAAATATATATATCTCTTAATGGAGATCTCGTAAGCACAACAACCTTTACGCAATTGCTTCAGATTAGACGAGTCGAAGATGAGAGAAACTGTTGCGTCAAAGTAAATCATAGAGTAAATTCGAGACAGTGTAATTATAACTTTTGGAACGAGAATGGCCATAGGATAAAAAACTAAGCGTTAAGGTATTTATTATAAAGCAATAAGTGAGACGAGTTTGTAGATGTAGCGAAAATTGACTGTCACGATCTTTCATAACGTCTGCTTTTCATTGTATATATTTCAACGATTGCTGGAACAGAAACAGCAACGGATTGATTGACGGGTTAACGGGTTATTCTTCCTCATATCACTCCTGAATTACTTTAGCTTTCGAAATGTTTCAAGTCTGTGTTAGAATACACGCAAAAGACGAGTCGCGAGATGTCGGGAGAAGCCCTATGGTGCCGAGTTATCTCGGCGAGGAGCGTGTCTTCGTGCGATGTCGATCGCCGCGGATCGATTCGATGGTGATGTTCGATGATCGCGCGAGTGGTCGAGCACGTGGCTCGGCGCGATCGCGCGTTCCCAGAGAAATCCTCTCGCGTGTGTGCGCGCGCGCGCACGCGCGAGATCTCCGCTCGCGAGCGTAAGGTGAACGCACTGACTTGCGACGCGGATGGAACGCGGAACCGAGCGGGCGATGTGCGAGACAAATGATCGTCTGCGAGACCGCGAAATTCGTCGCCGCGCCGGCAAAATTCGCCCAATTTAAAGAGGACAAAATTACTTCTTCCCAATCGACTTGAATGAATCAATTTTTTTCTTGCGACACACACACACGCGTAAGTCTTTACAAAAAAAGTTTTATACTATTAATGAAAGAACAGTGTCTTTTGTACGAGACACTGGGTTCAATCGGGAATGCATTTTTGGTCAACAAATAATATTTCTTATAATAGAAATCTCTGAATAATTTTTTCCTTGAAACGACATTGAATGCCTACATTTCTCAATTTCTCCAATTTATATATTCAAATATTTCAACAACTTTTTCTATTCAAATATTTCAACAACTTTTTTTAAATTTTCGTACATATCTGATATATTACAAGAAAAAAATAATAAATAAGAATTATGAGTTTCATATATTATACCATCGGTTTCTGATATTTTTAGATTAAAAAATTATTTGACAGGAAAACAAGCGTAGAGAAGAAATTATTTAACAGCTTTATTTATATTTTATGTTTAATTTTCAGATTTTAATCTGAAAGTCGATCCAAATATTTTACGTAAAATACGACCTCGTAAAAAATTGGCTCAAATTGATCGCCGCGACATCGGAGGACAGTTATGTTACCGTTTCGAAAGCTTTTTGATAAAAACGCTTATTTTTTCGGCTGTTCTGCCATGGATATTGACAATTTTTTTAACAATTGGAAAATTCTTGACACATTACAAAAATACCAAAAATTCGATTTTCCAATTGAAATGATCTTCACGCCATTTATGATTAAAGGAGATTGATTGTATAGCAACAATAAACTAATTCCGAAAGAAATTCACAATTACCCGAAAACATACACGATATAGCTATTAGAAACACGCTAATTCGCAATTCGCGTGTCACAAGTACATAATAGGTTCCACTGGGAAGCTATCATGGAAAGGTTTTCATCGAAATTATTTTAGTTCTCATCAATTCTCTTATTACAGATAGCCAGCGTTTGAAATAACAAATAAATAATAAATAACTTTACGACAAGTCTCTTGATTTTGCGAATTGAAAACGCTTATATATTTACATCGTATTGATTGGTGTTTCGATCGTTGCAGACGGTGTATCGGTTGATGAATATCTAGCTGCGCGTGAATTGTCACAAAACGCTTGAAATTCGCGAGGCGGAAAAACAAAGCTGGCCAAGGGGATGGAAGGGGGGAATGAATGTTGCGGGAGGGAAGAAAAGATGAGTTAGCGAGAGATGGAGGAGAGGATTCGAAGCAAAACGTGCAGATGAGAGAGTGAGTGAGAGAGAGAGAGAGAGAGAGAGAGAGAGAGAGAGAGAGAGAGAGACGACAAAGAGAACGACGAGGATGAAGAGGAGTGGATGTTAATGGAGGAAGGGGAGAGGAAGGTTGTGACCAAGAAGAGGAAAGAGGGACGAGCCAGGAAGAAGTCAACGTCCGAAGATTACGGCAATGACATTCACTTTTTCTCTCACTCTCTGCCTCGTGTTTCTCTCGTGCTCTCCGAGTTTTTTTTCTTTCCTCTCCGCCCTCTCCTTGTTTCTCTCGCGATTCACCGGTGATTCCCTATCCTCATCTCTCTCGATCGTGCGAAAATACTGGAATATATAGGGTGGAGTAACTTGGGAAGTTACTTAAAGTTTTTCGGTATAATTGGGAGTAGTGGAAAGTTTTGAAACTCGTCATCTTTCTTACGCAAAAATTAGTATAAAACTTTACGTAAAGATGCATAATTTTATTGATTGATCATCGCATGATACAGTAATGAATATTTTTTACATGATTCTTTTTTTAATTCGAATGTCAACTAAATTTCCTTTTCTAATATCGTATCAAAAATAAAAAAATATAAGAAGAATTAATTACTGTTAATATTACATTATTATAAAAATTATTATTTTCTTGGAACCTATTAGGGATGATTAAGGACAAAATTTTTGCTTATTTGTTGAGATTTCTTGGAACAAAAGGAACTATTACTGTAATTGAAAGCTGAATGGCAACTCCCAATTTTTTTTTCGAAATAAACTTTACGTACTTTCTTAGAAATCAATTTTCTCATCATCGTCTTACATATAAAAATGTTAAGCTGAGATTCGAAAAATGAATATTTTATGAAATACTTCATATTTTATCCTGACACATTTTAACATGAAGATATTATGCCTTTCTATAATATTTGTCATAAAATCTCATAAAATATTCACTTTCTTTTTATTAATTTCTCTCAATATTTTTATGCATAGACTAAAATTATCAAGAAACTGCTAGATAACTATTTGTATGATAAGAAATAAAATATTTAATTTTCTCATGTGAAATTTGAGAAATTTTCATCTGTGAATTGAACAATTGTCTCAATTTTTCATTTTTATTTTTATCATTTCATGTATATTAACCTGAAAGAGAACTGCTTCCTTAGAGAAACATATAATTTTAGAAATGAAATTTCCGCATTCTTAAGTTAGTTTAAATTTAAATTATTCTGAACTTTCTATTCTTAATTTCTTGAATTTTCGCATATTTAAATACGAAAATTCAATTGTATTTTCTACAATAAATGATTAATTAAGTGAATCAATTAGCTAAATATTTATTCAGAGATGAAAAATTTTATCTTATGTAGCAAATTGAAATGAAAAATGAACTTTCATGTTTCAATATTTTTCAATAATTCATAACGCCCGTGTAATTTTCACAAATCAATAAATTATAAATCGTACTTGCGTGCGACTGCATTTATGTATGTGCCTTTATTATTTTGCAATTGTATTTTTTTCTTTCCGCGTCGTATCGTTATTTTGTCTTTGGTTTCTCATTTTCTTTTTGTTTTGATTTATCTTTCAGCGAGATGGCTCACGTGAAAAGCCAATGGACGTGTAAACCATTAAAAATTGGCGGGCAAATCCGCGCTCGCGCTACTAGGAAAAAGTTCGTCCTATAAGAAAAGTAAGAGAAAGAAGAAAGAAACAAGAAAAGAGAGAAAAAAAGAGAAAAAATAGCCACAAGAGCGATAAGGACGACTTATCACGAGTAAAGGCATTCGGTCGATCGCGTATCCCAAAAATAATGGGTTGAACTTTCGAGTGGCGTTTTCCATTCGTAAGAAGAAGTTAAAATGGAAGCACAGCGAGACGATGCTGCTTCAACTTTCACGTCGACTACGTTCTTAACGAATGGTAGTCGGAAATTATGCGTTAATTACACAAAGAAGACGAAGAAATCGGTGTTAAGTGATAAAGTGTGAAATCCAGCAACAACAGCGATAAAGTATCGAACTTCCGTAAACGCGGCAGTGTTGTCCTTTTAAAAATTATCCCTCATCAAAACCGACCGCGCCTGCATTCTCTGTTCGTTCGATTCGTATCGAGTGTCTCGTCGATCTTCATCGTCCGCACATCCCGTCCGTTATTTATACATTCGCGAGGAAATCTCGGGAGCGTAATCTTCCTCTCGCAACTTTTATCGTCGCATCGCATTCGTCGCGCGGCCATTACGGCCGTGGTCGAATTAAATCTTATTAAGCAGCGGTGTAAATGCAAATACAAGAAACGCGAAGCCGGGGAAGAGTGGCCGCGAGATAGACGGAGAGAGGCGTAATACCTGCGAGGAAACGAGGAAACGTTACTCGTGGTTCAAGGACCCCGCAAAGTTACGAGAAAGACGAGCAGCGACGACGACGACGACGACGACAACAACAACTGCAACTCGAGTGGGAAGACATGTTCGTTATGCTCGCCAAAATCGCTCATCGACAATAAAACGGTTTGTTAAAAAAAAAGAAGATATCATTTCTCAGAAGACGCCTGATGAAATGCTGGATAAATTATCGAGATACAGGATATCCTTTCGCAATAAAACCGTTTCACTAATGACGCTCGACGTGTCCTGCGAGTTATGCCGGTTTAACTTACGCGACGCGTCGACAGAGGCATCGCTCTTCAATAGGAACGCCTCATATATGATATATAAAAGATGTTATCTACAGACTGAAATAGCGTTCCACCGGTTTGTGTACAAGTAACGAAGGGGAAAGTTTAACTGAACGAAGTTAGAACAAGTTTCGCAGTATATCGAGCGAAGTATCAAGCCTCGAAATAATTAAACGAGCTTATTAAACGATAGCCACTTTATCATCAAGAAAGTTCGACCGATACATAACTCTGTTATCAAGAAGCTGGTACGTGATGGATGTTTGAAGATTCAAGAAAAGTCGACGACGTTTTCTTTAAATTTTCTGTCACTGCAAGGATCGAAGAGAGAGAGAGAGACAAGGATCGGTGGATTCATAGGATAATCGTGAGTAAAACGTCGTTCAGTTCTCGGGAAGTGGCGATTTTCAAAGATTCGCGAGAGGAGAGTGACGGAGAGTTTCTCTCGTTCTCTTCGCGAAAGCTGCGAAAGCTGCGAAAGTGCCTATCCGTGGATCGAGTCGAGACTTACCGCTGGCTCGGCAGAATCGTCGTCGAGAGGTCGAGACAAGGATCGAGAAGGCGCGCGCGAATGCTGAATGCCGCAGACGGTAGCATCGGCAGGAAGCGCGACGTGTACCACGCTGTTCGCCGCCGGCGTCGCCGACGCCGTGATCGCTCGTACGTACGTTCGATGCCCGTACAATGGACGTTTTCAAACTCGATCAGTCGCTGAGCGCGGGTTTGGGCAGCGCGCCGGCGCCGGACACTCTCACGCCGGAAGTGTCATTCGATGCCGGCAGTGAGTTTAACCTGAGCTTCTTCGACGGCCCGGAGGAGAACAACAGCACCCAGGGCTTCAGCGACCCCGGTTCCGTGGGTAGCGCCAGCGCCTCGCCGCCCCCCGGTACACCCGGTGGCGCCGTACAGCAAGGTTTGTTTCATTTCTTTCTTATGTATCGCGCTTCCGATTTTTCATTTCCGCCTCGTTTGGTTTCGATTCCGTTTTCGATAAATTACGAATTTGATTTCTGTCGACGTTAGTACGACGATCATGAGATTGTAGATATTACATACAACTGCAATATACATTTATATGTAATGTTATATAATGTGAAACAGTATAATTATTATGAAATCTCGAATAGGCTTTTTAATACAATTGATATTACGTTAGGTTTGCAAAATAATTTGTCTACTATCTGAGAACTGTCTGTTGAAAAAAGAATGGTCAACATGAACTATTATATATATGATTTTATTTGATTTTAAAGAGGTAATTAAGGAGAATGAAAACAGACTTTTTCAACAAAAAATATACAAAAGTTATATCATGCAAATATTTTTTGTATTATTTTATATAAATATTATTGCATCGTCGAATAAATCGGAAACAAAAAGGCAAAATTAAATTAAATGAAATAATTGCAACCATCATTAATAACTTTCCTGCATATATACATATAATAATTATTTTTTAATGCTTTTAGCGACTACTAAATAAATTTTAAATATTCAAAATATTCATTATATTTTAATGATGTGTATTAATAGTTGATCAACATTTTAATATTTTCTTAAAGAATCATTAATTTTCCGAAATAAATATATACATATATGCACTTTTCATTAAAAGATTTATATTTAAATTTTTAAAAATAATATTTAGTGGACCAGTGAAATTGATTAAAAGAAAATTAAAAATTATTGAATTTAATTATCTATTAATTTTATAGATGAATTTTATAGAATTTATATTTTACTGCTCATTAAAGACAATAAAGCGATACAATAAGACAGAACGTGTCAGACAATCAGTCACGACACTCAAACAAAACACAATTAACTTAGGATTGAGGGATAGGAGCTTCGATAAAAATAATAGAAATTAGAACAACCGATAATTATAATTTTGCGCAATTAATTTTCCATAGGAACATCGTAAAGGAACTCATTGTCTCTTAACGTAACTTTGATAGTCCGCTGTTTTATATGGGAACGTCTATTTATAGCTCGACCGTGCGTTATACGCTCGGTGTGTCTATGTTTTAACGTTGTTTTACATCCTGAGCACACAGAGACGACGTGTATAGCGCTTCTCGTAAAGGTTAGAATACAAATTGAAAAGGTCGCACCCATGATGCGATACTCGCAGATCGCTCATGATCGCAAGAGTCGCGTACTGCCTTTGTTGATAAAGCTACTCTCAGCAACGCGGATTTCGCTTTCGATCTACGAGTTTGTTCTTGATGGAGATTGAAAAGGGATTAATTTTGATGAATCGAGACACAGAAATTGTTTTCCCGTGCTTGTAAGTCGAACCAAAAGAATTTACCACTCGCGATGTTCCCGCTCGTAAGAAAAGTCAAACACTGACATTTCGTTCGAACTGAGAGCATTCGAGTAAAATCAATCCAGTTCTATCCAAGACTTTTTCGTCTTTTTTCTCGCTAATTTTGCGTTGAAGCGATTTTATGGAACCTATTACAGAGCGTCAAGTAATTCTGCTTTGTGAATCAAAACACTATAGCAAGAAAATTCTTGAAAAATTAAGTAAAAAAAATTATTTATGAAATTTTTATTTTAAGTACTAGTGTTTGAGATATAAGAGTTTAAACATGGCCAATATTACAATTTAAACGGTCACTTATGAATATTAAGTCGATTTTCATTCTCTAATTAATTAGTAATTTAAATTTAACCTTACTGATGATAATGTAAAAATTGTGTTTTTTTAGCCATGATTAATCATTAAACTGATGATTTTGAAATAGTAACTTTAAAAGTTATTCATTACAAAATCATCAGTTTAGAAATTAAACTACAAAAATTTTTATATTATTACGAAATTAAATCTAAGTATAAATTAACTGGAGAATGAAAAATATTAATGAACGCGCTAAAGTATACATTCAACGCTCATTAACACTATCATATGACTCATAGACAAGTGGCTATCTAAACGTAGTCTGCAAATAGTTATATTAAATTTGACCAATATAATTATCTTAAAAACTACTACTTAAAATAAAAATGTACAAATTATTTTTTTTTACTTAACTTTCCGAGAACTTTCTTGTTATAGTATTTTGATTTCGCAAATTTAGGAACATCTAATATAACACCGTTTTTCGTTCAATATTTCTTTCACAGTAAAATTTTTTAGAAACATATAAATTTCTGCAAAACAAGGCATTATATCAAAGAATCGGTTAAAAAATAGTTGAGGCGAAAGCACGAACTGAATAGTTTTTTTTACGATAATTTGGTTTATTCAAACATTTCATGCGTTGTTGTGAATTCTCTCGTGGCAGGAGACAGCAGAATTACTTGAATTTTCACGAAGCTTATATGATTCCGGAGTTTACGCGATCCCAAAAAGGGACTACGTGAATTCCAGAGAGGCCGTTGATTATTTTATACATTCGCTAGCAGGGATCATCCGACGACGATCTGATGGTAGCTACCGAAAATCCAACTTTGAATTTCAATCTCGAGGCGGTCAAGGTCCATCGAGAGTAATTCAATTCAGAAGCGCGAATCTCGCGGGGATAAGAAGTAACGCGTTGACTATTGTCGCCTGAGACTCGAAACGGTGGAGAGCATACCAGTACCTCGATTTTATAACTTCTAACGACAGTTCGTACATATCTGTATTAACAAGAGTAGCGCATTTCTTTTATCTAAGCGAATATTGACAATACGCGTCTTTCTATTGGCTGCTATTCTATTGAGTTTCCCTATTGACTATTTTGACCGTCATCTTGGATCTAATTAATCCAATAAGCACTTAGTAATTGTTTAATATGATATATTGGGAGAAAAATGTAATAAATTTTAATAAATAACTGTTTAATAGTAGTAATATAACATTTATTTTTGGAAAATAAATATTTGCTAAATAAAAAATAATAATTAAATTAAATTAATAGTTTTTGTACCATAAAAATATATGTTTACATTTAGTAAATATTTCACCGACACTATTCAAACAAGTATTTATTAAAATTTAGTACTTTTTTCTCTCACAACCAGTGTTTATAGTATTAGATTCTACATGGTAGACTGCTTTCTTATAAATATAGACCTCTACACAGTTCGGCATTGTTTCATTGTCGTTATACTGTCGTTACGCGGTTTTTTACTACGTACAATACCTGCGCAACCACAGTATAATATACTGACACCGTCGTTAAAAATTACAGAATTGGGATATGGAGGGGGGGGGGGGGGGATATACGATCGGCATATTTCAAAACGGTTTTAATGTAATCGCGCGAGATGAATTAATTTTATCCATGTGCTGCTAAAATTTTTTCGTATTCGGATTATAACATATAATTCAAGAGCTACTTATATTAAACCTTAACAGATACATCTAGTAAAGCCTAGGTCTGTGTTGAACTTCAAGTTAACTTTATTTTAACATGCGACTAATTCATTTAATTCCTGTAACACCGATAATTAACAAGTTACGAAAATAAACGTCTAATCCAATTTTCGCTAAAGAGGATTATCAATAGTACGATAATATGGACGATAAGTTTATTGCTGAAAAGAAACTGTTTAATATATCTCACATGTTAACACTGTCTTGTAGATAAAACTCAAGAAGATTCGACTGAGAGGAAACTTGTTAGTAAGGAGCATAGAATGTGCTTGGAAAGTTTCGAGTTAACTGGCAAATTACGGAAGTTGTATGTTTCATCGACACAGTATCGTCGAGTTTTGACTTACAAAACTTGGACGGTCGAAAAGTCGTCTATAAGCATCGCGATTTCTATTAAAGTCGCATGAATATAATTCACATTTTAAGTTGAACAGCGTCCGATTTTATCCACTCAATTCTACGTGTTTGAGTCTGCGACTTAATGATCTTAATATATTTCGACGGGAATTATTCTTCGTGTACTTGAAATCGTAAATATTGAAAAGAGAATGATTTATTCATAAGTCGTACACGAAAAGGACGGTTTTGCTGAAGTATCTGAAAATTTAACTAGATATCTAAAACTAATTTTGTTGACCTATCAAAAAAATTAGGAATTTCAAGCATGATAAGCAATGCTGCAAAAAGTTTTAATATTTGAGCCAGTTTGACGTCCTACATATAATTATTACCTATAATTATTTTGATAATTTAACATTATTTTCAAATATATATATATCTATCTAAATTTTTAAATACTTCACTGTCCTTTTCGTCCATGGTAATAATAAATAATAGTTATACGGCTATATTATAACTTTTCAGCAATTAACGTTCGAAATTGCTTTCTCCGGCCTAGACACGGCCGGATATTAATCGCGGTGAGAATAGAGGCTCCCTTGATCGATAGTGACAAAAAAAAATCAAAGCTCATTGACACTCCTTTCTTTTTCTTCACCGCGACGTCGACGCCGACCGACGCGACGGGCCGAAGTCGGGCTGCAAGTCACGATTTTATCGACCATACGAATCGTAAAAGCCAAGAATGCCGTATCCTCGCGTACGACTTTCTTATATGGAATGCAGCTTACATGACTCTCGTGCTTTCCTCCACGAGAAGGAATGAGCCAAGTATATCCAGAATATATAGGAGGAAAAACAACCAGATTATGAGTTACGCATCTGCTAATTAGTTACGATGGAATTAAGACCCTACGAACGTGAGTTTATTCGCGACGATAAACGAAGGAGGTATTCCATGTTGCAGCACGCTCCGATTGCCAATCATAATACGCTCTGTTTCATTTCGGTCGCGTACATTGTTGATTGAAATAAGTATAGTAGTTATGCATTCCATGCATTTGAAAGTAACAGTGCTACGTTACGTGTGCGTAACAAAATTCGTGTGGAAACAACTCAAAAATACTACTGCTTACGTAACAGAGGAACGAAGTTATTCTTATAAATTTGATACGCTTTACAGCAAGAAAGTCGACTTTATCTGA